CCAGCTAGCCAAGTTTACCAGTCTGTAGGATCTTTAATATAGATGCAGCTTCTTAGGAAACTCAGTTCACAACTTCATCAGATCCAAAATGCTATTTCCCTAAGAAAACAGCAAATAATTTGTATTTCAGGTTCTCCCAGATGTCAATTTTTATCTTGTTTAACTCCCAGTTTTTGTAAATATACACATTTTACATGATTTCTACCACATGATACATAAACTTTCTGAACAGAGCATTTAAAAATGAGATAAATATAAGGTTAACAATAAGAGGTTACGTTATATTATATTATAAATGTATTAAAGTTTTGTTATTACTGATTCTTTTGTGGTCTTCCAATATTATTTTTCTTTACTAAGTGGCTAAGGGTTGAGAGGTAAGATTAAGAATACATTATATCAGTGCTTCCTCTCCATTATTCAACTACTTCACTTTCATCTTTTTAGTTTCACCATGTTTCAAAAGAGAAGAATATGCAATAGTTCCAGAAAAGTGAATGTTTTTGTTTTTCAACAACAACAACAAAAAAATCGAAAACTTAAAACAATTGCCTTTAAAAACACTGTCAGTTCAGTTACTAGAACACTTACCAGGATGAAATTTATGGTATTTTCTGGTTTATGACAATGTGGATAAAAGTCAGTTCTCAAATTTGCCTTTATAAAAACTTAATGAAGTGTTTAATTATTAAGCTATCTTAACTGAATAGGGTAGATATTTGAAGACTAGAAAGGAATTTGTGTATAATTATTTTCATGCTCAAATACTTCCTTGCTCAGAATTGTACAGTTTGGGAAACTGGTTAAATCTCATTTGTTTTGAAATTAACTGCTGCATCATACTTTCATTGATTAATATAACTTATCAAACTCTGGAGGTGTTGAATTAGTATTTATTTGTATCTGTATTTTTTGAGACAATTATTTAGATGAATATGTTATTTATTTTTTAAATTTTTATTAAGGTTGGACAATTAAAAGTTGGCGAGAAAAATAATATGTAAAATCACAAAATATGTGGAAATACTGCCAGTATCTCACTCCCAGTTGGAGACATTCTCTGATATTTCCAGTGCACTGAAAAGAAAAGCTGCAATCACAGTTCTGTTTTGCCAAGAGCAATGGAACTGTTAGTTCTTTTAAATGAGTGAACCTAAAAAAACAAATTAAGTGAAATTATTACCTTCTTCGCTAGCTGTCAAGAGTTGCAAAGTATTCATTACCAATGACACTTGGTGGAATTCTAAACCCACCCTCTTCAGAATAAGGTCCAACTTCCATTGAAATGCTAATGAAACTAATCAGATTGTTTCTTTTTGAACTTCTTTTTGTGTTTGAGCTTAAACTCTTCTTATCTGAGATGATTTCATTTGTTGATTTATTGTTTGTCAACTTTATATAGTCCCTTGTCCCTAGGGGTGAAAGTAGGCATGAGGGATAACAACACAACAAAAAAAGTTTATTTCAAAGTCTCTAGTTTTTTTCAAAGTGATAAATCTCTTAGATTTTATTTCCACCTGGATGGCTGTGAATTTGGGTGCATCAGAATGTAAAGACTAAATAACTAACAGAAGGGTTGTCAAAGGATTATCATTTCAAAGTTAGACATGGCAGAAGGCAACTCCTGCGTATTCTGGGAAAACGGCTTTGCTTAAGCTATATTTAGATGGTAGAACTAGCAAGTAAGCAGAAAAAAAAGCTTTGCATGAAGGTTAATTTTCCTATTTAAGAGAGATACTATCATTTGAAACAGGTGAGATATGTTTCATGTGGTCATACTCATTTCATTTCCTAATTTTTTTTCTTAAATACTTTTTATTTTTATACAGACATAAATCTGCAAAAGGCAGTAAAGAGTGTTAAAAGAAAAGAGGGAAAAAATCTTCAGACAAGGTAAATTTAACAGAGTTTATTTAAGCATTAAAAGATTCATGAATCTCGCAGGACTGAGACCTGGAAGAAGTTCAGACAGCTCCAACTAGGCAGAAAGCAGAAGGCTTTTACAGCCTGAAAGCAGAAGCAAAGCACTGTAATGAAATCAGCTAAGGCCTGGATGCACCAGATATTAGTTCCTTATATAACAAAGTTCTTCAGTTATTCTTCAGGAAAGGCCTCCAGAATCTACTCAAGGACAGTGTGAAACCAGCTTTTCAAGAATGGACATGTACAGGAGCAGCAGCTTGTCTGGTCAATGACCTTTATATGTCACAAACTCTATATCCCACCCCATGCACACTTATAACTTCCTCAGAAAAGAAGCATGTAACCTGTGAAGAGGCAAAATGATCGCTTACACTTACTCAAAAGCCCCCAAATCTCCCCTTTCTCGCCATCCAAGCAGCTTCTCTTTTGATATTAATTCCCCCAGTACCAACAAACTGGGGAGACATATTTGAGGTCTTTTTAAACTCCTGGATCCTTGCAGGCTGACCACAAAATAAAGCTTTTCTTTTTTTCTTTTTGCATAAAAACCCAGTGCCATAGTTTTACTTCATTGGCTTCCATGAGAGTTGGGCAGCAGGCCCTTGCTCAGCAACACAAGTACTTGATGAGCTACAAGTGGGCAGTTATCTTATATCTGTACAATTCCATAGAAAGTCCTTAGTTAGAGCTTAATTGGTAGTTTCTGGTTGGTTATGCTTAAGCTTTGTTTTATTGTTTGCATTTGGCTTAATTTTGCAGGAACCCAAGGCACTAGAACCTTCTCAGCCTAATGGACTCTCAAATGTGTGGGGTTTTTTTGTTTGTTTGTTTTTGATTCTGTGGGTTGAACCCAGGGGCACTCTACCACTGAGCTACATCCCCAATCCATTTTATTTTTTATTTTGTTAAAGGATCTTGTTAAGTTGCTGAGGCCCTTCCTAAAGTTATGAGGCTAGCCTCAAACTTGTGATACTCCTGTCTCAGTCTCCTGTGTCCATTACCATGCCTGGCTCAATTATTATTATTTTTTTAACAAGACAACTAACTCTGATATCAGATCACAGTGATCAGCAAGCACAGAATATTATCTATCTATCTATATACACATATATATTTATTTATTTATAATCTATCTAAATGTAAATATATTTATATATAAGTATATATATATTATATATTTATCTGTATGTATATAAATATACATATATATGTATATCTCACCTATAGCACCAAGTAGATGTGTGTGTATATTATATATATATATATATATATATATATATATATATATATATATATATACACTAAATAACTAAATATTATATAGATCTAAATAACAGAAGGGTTGTCAAAGGATTACCATTTCAAAGTTAGACATGACAGAAGGCAACTCCTCTGTATTCTGCAAAACAGCTTTGCTTAAGCTACAGCACCAAATAGAAGTGAACATGGGTAGAAATGCACAAACTCATCAATATTCCAGGACTTCTAAGTATTCTAATTGGATAGGCAAAAAATTAGAATGTTGAGAATAAAGTGTTGGTTATGCTGTGGATATTTCATATATAATGATGGAGTTTGAGTACCTCAGTGTTTTGAAAAGTAATTTGGTAGAAATTGCTGTAAAAGTTTATGATTGTGGATTCAGAAATTTTGAAGAAAACTAACATATAGGAATCAAAGCATTAGGTTGAAGAATAAATTTTAAAATAATTACTGAAACATTCTGGTCCCAACAACATGGGCCCATCACTAAGAGTAGGTTGGACTAGATGATATCTATCCTAATGAATGCTATGTAGTAAGAGGAGTGGTCTAACTGTTGTATCTGGGAAGAAATATATATGTGAACATGTGTATGTGAATGTTAATGTATTATGTGAAATTTTAGATAAAAAGTTATGAAACAAACAGGAACATCAGTAATTTTTACTAGGGATGGCCTTTTAGAGGTTGGTTGAAAAAGATTTAAAAGATATGTATGATGAAAGTTGTTGGGTAGGGAGAAATCTGGGATTTGGTGGAAAATTACACATTATTCATAGTGCACTCGTCTTGGTTATCCAATAGAAGTATGAGACTGACTTTGAGCTATTTCAGAATTCTAAATTATAATTTACGTTGGTATAAAACCTTTTTCTAGATATGGTCATTTTGTCCTGAAAAGTATCAATTTACTTGCCTTTCCTTATGCAGAAGGGACCAGTTTTTCTTCTGTTTGCATGTTCACTTTATTATCCTGATTTGTAAATATGTGTTTTCTTTGGATTCTTATTTGAAGAAGTTGTTAACATACTGTTGTGTCCTCATTAATAAATTAAATTAAATCTTTAACATGTTATTATGTATGTATGAGAATCACCTTTACTTGAAAACTATCCTTTAATAGACTTTTCCCATATTTTTCAAGTGCAGATAATCTAACACAAATACTTAATAAAATATATGAATAATGTAAAGTACTGTAGAGGAAGATCAATAATGTTATTGCCAAATGTTATGATGAGGCAGGATAGAAGAGGACCATGACATTTTTATTTTTACTTTCTATTCTATCTATTTATATTGAAATTTTTGTATTATGTTTCATTTGATAGTTTTATAAATAAAAAAATGAATAGTAGCTAATCACTCCAATCAGATTATAGCTTCTTGAGAAAAAAAAATTTTAAAGATTTTTTTTCTTGCTTTCAAAATCTGGTGAATAGAGTGCTGACCACTGTATTAAGTGAGTTAATACTAATGAAAATATGAGATGAAATGCAACAATATTTAACCTTGTTCACAGATATAACAAAAAGAGTTTTAACTATTACAGAAATTCACTCCCCGCATCTCCCAGATTGTTCAAAGGAAGGCTGTACAATTGCCCATGCTTTGGTCTTATCTCTGCAGTGCAGCCTCAAGCAGGCAAAGGCAGACCATTCTTGTCAATTTCATAAATAATTTCATCTCTACCATATTCATATGATTCACAGACACCCTAAAGCGATCAAAGGTAAAGCCATTCCACTTTTTTATTTCTTATATTGTGGTTTCAATTTTTTAAAATATTATATTTAGTTGTTGATGGACCATTATTTTATTTATTCATTTATATGTGGTGTTGAGAATTGAACCCAGTGCCCCACAGGTGCGGGGCAAGTGCTCAGCCACTGAGCTGCAACCCCAGCCCTGTGGTCTCCATTTTAATAATAAATTATTTCTTTGTTTGGTACTTGTAGGAGAAATTTGAGAATAATGGTTAATAATATATTCTGTCATTTGAAGTATTTAAAAAAACTATAAAATATAGTGGTATCTCTATTTGCATGAAGTATATCCTCATCCATTGAAATTTATACCCATTTTTTTTTCTCAACAAATTGCTCATCTATTCAACTAAGAATTATAGATTTTATTGGGGGGCTGCCTGAAAAGGAGAGGCAGAGAGCAGAGAGAGGAGAGGAGGAGGGCAGAGATCTCATGTCTTAACAACTAAATATTGAGAACTTTGTATGTCCCAGATATTAATATAAGCATTGGGACTCAGAAGTAGAAGTGACAATATCTCTATTTGTTTTTCTCACTGGGAAGCGTAACATCAGCATCTTACTTTCTAACCTGTGACTTCTCCAATCTCCGTCTATTCTGTTTCTTCTGTTGGTATTTTCCAAATTATTAATAAGAGATTTCTTAGTTTCTTTTCTCTTCCTTCTTTTCCTTTTTTTTTCTTTTCTTCTCTCTTCCCTGCTCTCATCTTAAATGTCATCCACTTCAAGAGTCACTCCTGACCAACATTTATTGATACCCTAACACCTAGGTACTTTCTGTCATGCTACCATATATTTTCTTATTGAATATCCTTTTGATAATGCCAATCTGAAATACAAATAATTCATATTTCACTGGCATGTTTGCTTTGATATTTGTTATCTGCATTCTCTATTAGTATATATGCTCTCTGAAGTAAAAAAAAAATCTTTTATTTATTATTGTTTCCCCAGTTCTTCCAGAATAAAATGTCAATAAATACCTCTTGACTTGAAATTACATTTTGGTGGGGGAAGGCAGGTAAATTGTATCAATATCCCTATAATCCATATTTAATTCCATAGCTGTAACGTCTACAAAAGGAGGAAGCTGTGAGATAGGAATAGAGCAGTGGTTTGTAAGGTGCTACCCTGGACCCACAACACCTGGAAACTCATATGAATTCCAAATCAGAAGTGTAAGGTGGGACTCAGAAGTCTGTGTGTAGTAGAGCCCTTCTGATGACTATGAAGCAACTGAAGTCAGAGAACCAGGTAATAAAAATCCAGGGTATTTAGAGCTGCACATTATTTCTTGTGATGTGTGTAGTCCAGCCCTTTAGATTGACTTTGGAGGGTGGGATGCTGTGACTTGTCCTCATGGTGGTTTGTTTTCTTCACGGTAGTCTCTTCAGACCACAGTAGGCTATTTATTTCCACAAGTCAGCAGTATCTACAGAACACAAGATAAGAGGTCTGAGAAGTCAAAAGACTTGCAGATGATCTCACTAAAACATCTGGTGTAGGACTTTGATCGAAGCCTAATGATTTTTCAATCTAGTGAGTTCTATTCAGATAAGCTGCATGGTTATTTTTACCAAGACCTTGAAGATATTGGATCAAACACAATCCTAGCTATTTCCACATTTGATTCGGAGTACTTTTGTTCTTTGAATATCTAATGATATTTTTCTTGTGGAAAATGGTTTAATTAAAGCTAGCATTCAAACACATTTTCCCAGACCACAAGTTTCAAGTTTATAATAAAAGTACAAGGAAAACATCAGTGTGTATTTAAAAAAAAAATCAGCCATTAACTGTGCCACTAACTTTAACCAGAGTACTTGAACTTTTAACAGGAGATTCATTTTTTTTCTCTTTCTCTCTCTCTCTTTATTGTGAACACAGGTGTCATAGTTAGGGTAAGATGACTACATAAAATTTTAACCTTTCAATAGATAGAAATTTAGCTCACTGCACACAACTACCTAAACAATTTTGCACACACACACACACACACACACACACTCATACATACATGCACACACACACATATATACAAATATATATGTGTATATCTCAAATGCCTAGCACTGTGCATGAAATATAAATTTACATCATAGGTTAATTTAATGAATTAAATGATTTCAAAATAGAATAAATTATTCATTTATAGTTAATAAATTATGTGACATTCAAGAAATTTAACAAGCTTTTTAATAAAAAAAGAATTTCGCACTTTTCAATTTTCTATTAGAAAAATAACTAGATATTGTCAAATTAATTAAGTTGTTAAATTTAAGGAATAAAAATTTTTGACATTGATTATCACATTTCTCTTCATAAATGTTGCATACCTCTCTACTGGCAATATATGAGGATATTTTTGTTAAAAATGTGGAATAGGATCATTGCTTTTATTTTACCAATATAATGGTGGGGAAAAAATTGCACTTCACTGACCTAATGGTTACTACTCTGATAGAAAAGTACAGTATTTTATTAGCCATAATCTATTACATTTCTTCCTTTTCTATTTTTTTATTAATACTTTTAATTGATTTTTAAAACTGGGATGTCTGTTTTTTTCTTTGAAACCTCTTTATTCTCATTTTGTATCATAATTGTTAAATTATAAGATACATAGTTTTAAACTTATTAGAATTTTGCCTTTTTAAAAACATTTTGATCTTGCTTTTTAGTGTATAGAAATTGCATTATTTATTCAAATCATTTACTTTGGTGTCAGTTGTAAGATAGACATAAAGACAGATCCCCCCTTGAATATTTCGTGCATTTTTTAGAGACCCTTTTATCTCATGTTTACACAGGTGCCACAGCTGACTATCTTCCATTTTTGAGGCTCTGATCTAAACTTGGAAAAATAACACTGGAAAAGTTAGACCAGGTACCTGATTTAATGAGGACTAGATCCAAAAAGGGAATAACAAATAAATTAAATGATTACATTTTATTAAACAATTGGAGTAGGAAATATTTTAATTTAAGAATTAAGCTTGGTATGGTGATACCTTCGTATAATCCCAGGGATTTGGGGGACTTGAGGTTTTAGGATCACGAGTTCAAGGCCAGTCTCTGCAATTTCGTGTAATCCTTTCTCAAAATAAAAATAAAAAGGCTGGGGGATTAGCTCAGTAGTAGAGGGCCCCTTAATTTACTCCAAAAGACTGAAAATCATAAATGCATTTATTACAGACTTAAAAGATCAATTAGGATAAAAAACAAAATTCTAAGGTGGCCCCCTAAGGTTCCCATCCTCTTGTGCATATGCCTATATAATTGTGAAGTTTTGAGTGTGGATGGGACCTATGAATATGATGAGATAATTGCTCTATTGATTGCACTACATTGTAGAAGCCTCCATCTTAGCCAACAAGAGAAAGGGCGTCCTGTTGAAAAAGAAAACTACCCAGTGGTAAGACAGTCACATGACTAGGACCAGTGTCCATTCTTCAGTTGCTGAGACAGCCCTCTGGCCATAGGAGGAAACAGGAGTCTGGTCCTGTAACTGGAAGAATTTGACTTTTACCAATCACATTAATAATTTAGGAAGAGATTTAGTCCTGCAATGATGAAGAGCAGGGAATTCCTGGCAGTTTTGAACAGGGGAGTCATGTGATCTGACGTATGTCTTTAAAGATCTCAGTGTCATATACAGGGAGAATGAAATTTAGAGAGACCAGACGGCAGGAAGATCATTGCTGTTGAAAAACTCCAGGTAAGAGAAGTGATTACTTGAATCATAGCGTTTGCAGAGAAGATGATAAGTACTGAACAGGTATGGGATGAGTTTTAAGGGTTATCTAAACAATTTCTTGATGAACTGATGAGAAGGATGGGGGAAGTAGAGGAAATGGCACTTTGATTTTTGTCTTGAGAACAAAGTACTATGAATATTTACTCTATTTTCTGAAAGTACTGATTTAAGCTAATAAATTCTGCTTTAACAATCACTTTAGCTATATCACCTGAGACTTGATGTGCAATAATTCCATCACTCATTTCTAAATAAAATTAATATCCATCATGGGATTTCTTTTCTATCGTATGAGTTATTTAAAGTTGTGTTTCTAAAAACTATAAATATTTTGGATTTTTCTGGCTTTCTTTTTCCTTTTGATTTTTAACAAAGTGTGGTCAGAAAAGGAGATTTTCTACAAATAAATTGCAGAAAGATCACTAGAGTAGAGGGAAAGGAACAGAGATAGGGAGGAAGAGAGGAGAAGAGAGTACTGGGAACTAAATTAGAGCAAATTATATTCCATACTTCTATAATTATGTCAAAATGTATCCTAATATTATATGTAACTGAAAAGAATCTATTAAAAAAAGAAAGAAAATGAGGTGTCCCTAAATGAAAGACTTGGACACTTGTTTGAGCTAACTTTGTCACTTAGTATCTGACTACTCTTTCATTGATGGCAATGTTATATACATGTCCATTAAATAAACTTTTAAATAATCTTACTGAAGTCTTACAATGCTACAAATTTTCATCTGTCACGTCTCCCAATTGCTAGGATAGATGTGTTAAAAGAATCTAACCATGATAATGAATTTAGTAATTTCTGCTTTAACTCTCTCAATATTTACTTTATGTATATTAAATCTGCTTCTAGGAGCATAAATTTAATCATTATTTTAGTGATGGTCTAAATATTTTCCCTTCTTTCTAGTAAGACATTTTTTATTTAATTTATTATATCTGATATAGCAATACCAGTTTTCCATTTAAATATAGGCCTTGTATAGATTGTTCTCCAGTTTCATTGCATACATTTATGTGTTGATTTTGTAGTTATGACTTGTGATTTTGGATAGCTAAAATTTCTTAAATTGATTCTGAAAATGACTGTTTCTTGAATTAGTTGTGAGTAGTGATTTATTTATTATTATAAAAATTTCAAGGTGTACAATTGTGGGGAGATTAGTAAAATGAACCCACCCATTGGGAACCAGTTGTCCATGGATTTCTTATGTTTCTGTCCATCAGACGGACAATGATACTAAACAAAGAGACATTTGATCTGGACTACCTATTAAAAGCTGCCTCTATAGAAAGTATCTTCAGAAGATAGAAATAGTATTTCCCTTTGTAGCAAACTAAATCTGTATTTACTGGGTTGCATAATAAAGTTGTCTCCCTGTGGGGATAGAGGAAGGCAGTCTTACAGTCCATTATAAAATGTTCAGTTCCCTAAGATCATGATACTTTTACAACACAGCACGTTTCATGCACAAGTGTTATGTGGCCCTTTTCCTATTGCCTTATAGGAATTGGGGGTCAAAGAACCAGCACTGATACCCATTTGCTGTTATTCTGAATTGTAACGTGCTTTGTCTCTGATCATGAAATCTTATGTCTTTGCCAGTATTCATGAAACTTATCCATTTGTAAATTGGGAAAAAAATTCTCCAAATCTTCACTATTCTTCATCTCCTCTACCCCTATCATAGGGCTTCAACTCATGGTTCAGTGTCAGATTGTATGTATTCATACATGTACATACATATACACGTATATGTATCTTCTTCCTCCCCAAACCATACCAAATCATTTTATCCACATTGATTTCCTAACCTAACTTTGAAAGTACTTTCTAAAGAATAAAAAAGTAATGATCCTACCTAAAATATTTTAAATAATTTATTTTTTATAATTAAATACCCAGTTAGCATCCACATTTCACAAATAGTTTTGTTGTTGTAGTTGCTGTTGTTGTTGTTGTTATTGTTTTATGTTTGCTTATTTGATAAAGTATTTGAATAGGTCCATGGATTCCACATTTCTTGGTACTATTAAGCCTTCTTTAATTTACAGATTAAGGAAGTAACCTCCCCCCTACTTTGCTATACACTGAAATTACCTGGGAATCTGTAAAATATACAAAGGGCTGGTTTTTATTTCAAGAAATTTAAATTCAATTAGTATGAGCTGTGATCTGGGTGTCAATGTTTTTAAGAGAATCACTGCTATAGGTAACACCACCTTTCTCCTTTTACTTCCTCTTTCTCCCTACCTCTCTTTTTTTCCCTCTCTTCCTTCATCTAGTTTTCCTCTTTCTCACCCTTACTAGAAATGAAGAAAAATATTTAGCTCAGCAGTAAGATAATACATAAATTCATGCCCCCAGAAGTGACATAAAACTCATAAAGCAATTATTGATAAGAGTTAAAGAAGAAATTATTAAATCCATTATTGTAGTCATTTTTGACACATCTATCTTGGTAATTGAGAGATTTGACGGACAAAAAAAAATCCCACTTCATGTGATGTTAGTACTTCTAGCGATTATTAGAAATATTACCATCCTTCCTCCATTTATTTTTATAATATTTGCAGAAATATATTTGAATTTTTAAAGTATGCATGTTGTGTTATTGGGGATAGAACTCATGGGCTCATAAATGCTAAGCAAGTGCTCTACCCCA